TGATTTTGTACATTTCATACTCCAAATATGAAATTTATACTATTTTTTAACTTTGTATAACAAGTTCTTACAATAGCATTTAAATGAAAGTATGTTTAAAGTTTTTTTTTTGTTTTTTGTTTTTTTTTAAATATTTATTTATTTATTTATTTATTTATTTATTTATTTATACAAGCACTGGGTACAGTCAGAAGCGCAGGAGGGTGAGAGAATTCACCAGAGCCAGAGCGGGGAGCAGAGCAGGCAGAAGGACCGAAGTACACTGCTGAGGGGAGCAGCGGGCGGCAGGAGAGGTCTGCGCGCCATGTGGGACCGGGGAGCAGCCGGGGATCGAATTGGAGCTGCAGAGGCTGCAGGGAGCTTCGCAACCCAGCGCTCAACCGCTGCGCTACCGGGGAGACCCTGTTTAAAGTTTTTGATCCAATGGAAAAAGCATATCTTCCACCTCTAAAGCAAACTGCAAACTTGCAGAATAAGATATTTTTAAAAACATTTTGTGAAGTGAGTGATGATTCCTACATTGAGACAGTTGTGATTCCCGCCCCCCCGCAAGTGGCCTGAGGACTTTATGCACATTAACATATATCTCTTAAGAGTCTACCATTTATAGTTGGTAAATGGGAAGGAATGACTGTGATGAAGAGTAGAACTACACAATCTAACATTTAAGGGTGATTATTTGTGACCTTGCTGGAAAGAGTCATATACCAGCCCTGTGCTGGTCAAACACGGACATGCTTAAGTAAGGCGTAAGAAAAATTTTAGTGATCACTTCTAAAATTAGTATCAGTTGAAATAGTTTTTATTTTATGCCAGGGTTAGCAAATTGTAATTCATTGATCATTGCTGCTTTTGTGTGTCTCCTTGGCTAAGAATGATTTTTATTCATTTAAATGATTGAAAAATCTTGGCAGCCTCCCTGGTGGTCCAAGGGGTTAAGCACCACACTATGAGGCAGTCCTCAGCCTCTGCAGCACAAGTTTGATCCCTGGCTGCCAGGCGAGAATCCCACATGGCGCGGCAGACCTCTCCTGTCTCGCCCGCTGCTCCCCTCAGCAGTGTATTTCGTCAGTCTGCCTGTTCTGTTTCCCACTCTGTCTTTGGTGAATCCTCTCACCCTCCACATCTCTGGCCTGTACGCCAGTTCTTGTATGCATAAAAAATAAACCTTTAAAAAAAAATCTTGAAACTTGTGTTCTCTCACCATATAAATTCCTGTATAGTAGCTTTGATTTTGCTGCTTGAATTGCAAAGAGAAAAATATTTTCTATCTAGTCATTTATAGAAAATTTTTGTCAGCCTCTGTATATGTTCATTTCTTTTACTCCAATCATTTATATTATTTAATATGTTCCTTCTTATCCAGTTTTCTGATTTGGTATTTCTTACAACTGAGTTAAAATAGAGATCCCTGTAAATGAAAAAAAGAGATCACTTTAGACTCCAGAGAATATAATAGTTCAAAGCACAGGTGGATAAATATTGATTTATAAAGTAAATATTTCATTCTATTAATTTCAGCTTCAACTGAGACTTAATCACTGAAAATTAAGCTGAAAGATTACTTTTTTGTTTTATTACTTGCATTAAGGTAATAACACTTTACAACAGTATGTATAATTTGGGAGTATAGGTTCAAGCATCTTTAGATGTAAGTCACAACAGTATACCTACCACCAAAACACCCAGAACCCTCCCCATAGTCCATCTGGCCCCCATTCCTCTTTCCTTCTCTCCACACCCTCCCCCTTTGGTAGTTTCTACAGTAAGATTTCTAGGGTTTGGTTTTTGTCTGTTCCTTTGTTTTGTTTCATTATATTCCACATATGAGTTAATATTTGTCTTTTCTTTCTGACTTATTTCACTTAGCAAAACCCCTTCCAGCACTATCTATGTTAGAAATGGCAAGATTTAATCTTTTTTATAGCTGAGTAGTATTCCATTTTGTATACATACCACATCTTTTTAATGGACTCAAACGCTTCAGGCACAAATTTGTTTGCATATCTTGGCTATTGTAAATAGTGCTGCAGTGAACATAGGAGTAAATATACTCCTTCAAATTAGTGGGTCTGAAAGATTATTTTGATCATGATTATTAATAAAAGTCAATATTTAAAAATGGTCATAGAATACTAGGTCTTTAAACCTCTAGAGTATCTCAAGAGACTACAAACTCCAGATTAAGAAATATTATTCTGTTATATTACAACTGTACTATAGGATCTGAAAAAGCAATCAAATATTTGTTCTTTTCCTATAGACAGTTGTTAAAACAATAAGTAAATGACCATTGATTTACTTTTCTTTATTTTAGCCTAGCATTTCCCCCCTTACTCCCTTTCTATAAATGTATTACAAAATGGTTTAAATATGTGGTCAATGTTTATAACGATTCATAAAACTGCAAGAAAAGAGTATGTGTATTATTACATAAAATAACATTTAGAATAAAATGACATTATCCTACCAAGTTTCTACTAATTTTGCTAACTCTGGGATATTGTAATGTACTTTCAATTAAATTGCCAAAATAAACATCTTGTTTTTATGTCCTTCTTTAGATTGCTTATTCAGGTGTTTCTTTAATGGACCTTTTTTTTTTTTTTTAAATTAAGCACACTGATTAACATTTTTACTTTTTCAAAGCCCATTCTAATCTCTAAGATTATATCTGTTATTTCTATGTTGACCTCATGCATCTTGTGACCTTTCTGGTAATAGATCATTTGAATCATGACTTTTAATGGAAAAGAAAAACTGAACACACGTAAACTCTAATTTTTGTTTAGCATCATCTGAATGTGTTGGGGGCAAATTTCACACTTATGAAACAGGATGTTCAATAAAGAGATAAAATTATTTCTGTGTGGGTCACACTTATTAAATTCAACCAATGAATAAAATTTACATTTAATAGCAGCATAACAGGAAAAAATAAAGTTAGGGTTAAAGGAGAGTATAAATAATGTTTAGCTTTCCACATTTTACATTCATATCCTTTCCATACTCCCTGCAGCTTAGAACATTTATATTATCTTGGTTAATCACCTTCCTCCATGCAGTTTCTAAACAAGTATTAGAGTAAGGATAAAGATAAAAAGAAAATAAACAAATGTAAGTTCAGTCCCTATTCACTGTGCTTCCTAAGACCTCAAATAGTGATATTGTAAATTTCCATTAAAATAAAGCTGATTGGGTTGCAAATCCTCAAGTCTTTGGTTAGCTACCTAACATCCCTGCACCTCCAGGGAAAACTGGGCTTGCTTTCCAAAGGGAAAAACACAGAACTTCTAAGTATGGCAGAGGCTTCTGAGGTGACAACACTAAAAGTTTAAAAGTAGAACCAGAAAAGAGTCAAATGTCAAAATGCATGACAAAAGACATAACAACAGACGAATACAGTAAATGGATATTTTGGTGAAATCTGAATGTTGAAACCAAAGTAAATTTGAGAATTCTACAAATAGTTGATTGATTTTGAGAGTGCTGGCTATTCGTTGTGATTAAATCTAAGTCCCTAGACCTAGACTATTTAGTTCACCTAAGTGCACCAAAACTTCCCTGTCTGATAAATTAGGAATTCAGCATGAAAGAATTAAACTACAGTGCTTTCAAGATTTACAGTTTGCTGTCAGAAATCCCATACAAGTTACAATTACCACTGGGTTATGTTGTGTTATGTCAAGTGAAGATAATTACCTGCCAATCTGCATAATTAGTGCCTCCTTTTCCCCCCACCCCCTCCCACTTAAGAAAAATCTATTTTATTCAGATAAGGATCATAATTGTGCTAAATCATGTAAAAATGTTTTGATTGGTACCTAAACTAGTAGAGGGAAACTGTTAATGTTGTCAAACTCTTTAAGTTTTTATTCAGAGAATTATTGTCAAATATAAATCAAGAATTTCAAATAAGAATATAGAGGCCTTTCATTGGTACTGATGCTTGATTCTCACCATTACAAAAGCAAAAAGTCAAAAATGAATGCCTGTATCATTTTGTCACTTCAGTACAACTTGACACAGAATTTTTCACTATATGTCACTCTTAATTCCTTCTTTAGAGAAGGAAGACTGCCAGTCAAAATCAATTTACAAAGATATTTTTGATTTAAGAAAGAACATGTAATTCTACATAAAGTATCTTGAAATTTCGTCCATGAGAGGGAAAATAAATGGTAAAGAAACCTCAAGGCAAGGATCTTCGGGATGTCCATTTTTTTCACAAAGGTACTGTTGTGAGTGGCACAAAAATTCCATGCAATCTATTGCATTTATAGAATGTATTTTCTCTTTTAAGTTTCTGAGTTGGAAGGAAGGTCATGACTCAAGGTTATGACTGAGAGATTAGAGAAAAGAATCACTAGTTTTAAAGAAATTAATAAATAAAGAAGATAACTATTAAGGTTAAGAGTGTAATCTGATAACAGTGAATGGAATAGTTTAAAAATAAAGATAATAATTGAAAAAATATAAGTCAACTAAAAACTAATAAGAAAAATTATATTTTTTGCTTCCAGTGTTTGCTCTGAATATCACATAAGTTGCTAATGTTTTTTGCGTCTCTAACTTTTTTTTTGTCATTACTTTAGATTAGAAATACAAAAAATTTCCTTTATAAAGGTAGACTTAAAATTAATTCTGTATGAAAAATGAAATTTCTACAGATAATCCATGAAAAAAATCAGTCATTACATGAATGATGAGAAGTTCTGTACACTTTAAGAGCTACAAACCACAAGACAACTGTCTCGGGAATCATTTTGATAAAAATGTAGAATCCAAGTTATATTCTTTGATAAAAGAATGTATATGACAGTTATGCATGGTGGTCCCTCACTCAACAATTACTAAGGCATTATCTTCTTTACTTTATCCTAATTTAGTATAAATCAAACCATTTTAAATCAAACTGGTACATGCATCCATTCACTTCATGTGCAATCAAATCTGAATTACTTGTCACAGAGAAGTACACTTACAAGTGTGAAACCATTTGACCATGTTATATTTTAATTTGCAGAGACAAAAATGACAAGCAATTTATTTACATAAAACTGTACAAAAGCAAATTAAATTATGTAAAGTATTTCATAAATAGTTGGACGAGTGTTTAATACATTTCGCCATGTTTAGCATAGTTGCGTGCATAGTGACTCATAATAAACGATGATAAATTGTTCTCTGCTTCACTATCAACATCCAAGTAGCAGAACAATAGTCAATGATTAACATTACAAACAGATCGTACCACACTGAATGCAAGTGCTTTAAAATGTAGGAAAAGTCATCTGAAAGTAAACCCTAGGTAGCAGAAAAAAAGGATGACTTCCTCCAGATGTTAAAATTACCTTTGCCAGGGTCACAACTAACAAGTTTTAAGATATTTATGATCGTTTCATTTTTTCCCCCTTAAAGACCCATTGTGTATTTATCACCGATGCAATATACCTAAAACTACTTAGTTTTTCAGATTTCTCATGATTTATTTCAGGATGGCTGCTTAATTCTTGCACATTTCTTCTATGCTGTATTTCTTATTTTATTTTCCTCTAAGACAGCTTCCTAGGGTAGCCTTTCAGTGAGACATCTTCAGTACCATCTTAGTTCCTCTTTCCATAAAAATAATGCCTCCCTTGTTTTCTGAAACTCAGGCAGCAGGCCAGTCAGAAACCATATAGAAATGATATCTGGAGGTTCAGAATGAGTATTAGATTTTTGACTGAAGCTATAGACGTTTTAATACACATTAATTTATATAGTTACTCATTGATTTATAAATGTGTCCTAATGTATAATGCATGCAAAGTTCACTTGAGATTCTAGTGTACAGAAAACAAGGATGGCTTATATATTGTACAACCAAAATGAAACAGCAGCTAAAAGAAAAATGACAAAAAAGAAATGAAGAACAGAAATTCTAAATCAATATTTTACCTGCAAAATGGACTGATTTCACCCCTGATATCCATATTAGGATTACAAGAAATGCTTTAGTCTTCTAGTCAGAATTGTGCAGTCCATATTACTACCTTAGTTTTTTTTTCTTATGAATGAATAATATTTAAGACTGGTCCATTATCTGAGTTTGTCAGAAGGCAAATTTTTAATATATTATTTATTATTTTCAGAAAATAAACATGGATACATATACAGGATCAAAAAAGTTGGGAATAGCCCATTTCCCCTCATTGTCCAAACCCAACAACCGTTTTTTTACCATAACAACAGGTATAAAAGGCACAGTTGCTTATTTTGCATTCACTCATTTATTTTTTTTATTTCTTTTTATTGATTTTTTTTTCAAAAGCACTCTATATATGGAGTGGCACCAGATTTAACCTATTCAAAATAAAAGTCATACAAACACAAAATATATTTCTGTGTCATGCCAGCTCATTATATAATAAACATGTTATGATAGCTAATTCTACTAGAATTACTGCGAATACTTACAGTACACTGAATTTTATTCTTTCACACCCATTTTAGTTCTAAAGAGAGGCTCACAAATTAAATGACAATGGTGTGGCTGTCTTGAATATGGTGCAAACATCATTGGGGAATGTGGATCCAATTAATTTGGAGGTCCAAAATGACCCGTATTAGCTTTATAGACAACAGAAGGGTTTTTAAGATAGAGTGAAATGTGCTATCTAATGGTTTCAAGTGTCTCGTGAAAGAAAAGAAAAATGCATTAAAAATTTTGTTGAACATCTGTGTTATGCAATTGAATATTTCCTTTGTAACGTGCAAGAAAAAATATGTATACATTTCATAAGTATCTTTAGAAGTATTTTGTCTTAATAGGTACTTACAGATTATACAAGGCAGAACTGCTTTAATGCAGTTTCCTAACAAAGTACTAGAATTGCATCTTTCCATCGTGTAAATTATAATCAAACATAAGCATGTTTAATTATGATATTTTACTCCAATGTTTTTATTTCAATTACATATCTTTTTTCATCCTAACTATTATACATAAACTAACATCAAAATGAAAACGCCATTTAAGAAAGAGCATAAGGAAATGACTCCAAAAGTCCCTATCAAACAGAGAAGTGGTTTTCAAAGATAAGCATTTTGATGACCTAGAGTGAATTAACAACCTGTAATCCAGGCTTCTTCACCTAATAGTCTAAGAAATTCTGCAAAGCATGAAACTACCCAAAGCTACATTGTTTCTATAGCTTATTAGAGAGCCATCAAGGCTATGCCTTCCCGACCAGGTTACAAACGTTCAGGAATAAGAATGTTTGCTATCATCACCTGCTACCCCCTATTCTGTCCTTGGATTGTCATATTTGTCTGAATGTCCCAGCTCAATTTCCAATTGTATTATATCACCCTCTATAGAGCAAGTGAATCAGAATCTGCATATTCTGTTTCTTTTTATTACACTAAAAAACCTGCATATTTTCCAATTTTGAGATGTACATGCTAAGACGTATCACTGCCCGGAGCTCATTTCTTTCATGTCCACAGTGGCTGTATTTTAAGACATATTAAATAATGCTCAAATCATATTAGTGACACACTGTCACCTTCTTTCATTATCACAAGTCTTGAAATAGTTCTATGTTGCACAGGATTCAAAATTAATGCACTTGTGTTATATGGAAATGTGCATAGAACAAGTAAAATAAGTAATTGGCAATTTGAAATGTGGATTCTAAAGGAATAATAGTGGACTTTAAATTATAAGTCTATATGCTGACACATCTTTCTGTCCCTGCCTACCTACAAATACCATTTTGAAAAGTGGAAACTTCCCTGACGATATTTTTTGAAACTGAACTCAAAACTCAATGAATTGCCTATTATAATACCCAAAATAGGCCTCATTATTTTTTTTAATTTTCTGAGCTTAAAAATAAAATTTATTTTAAAATAAAAGCATATTTTCTGGTTAGAGAGACAATGTAAAACAAACTAGTTTTGAATGTTTTTGTATATGCATGGATTTGTTTACTTTTGTTGCTTAATGGATTTTCCTGTCAAGACCAAATCTACTTCATGATTTCCCTGATCTGCCTTATGATCTTTGGCCTTTTAATGACACAATTGTTCCAGTTAGTTGATAATAGTGATGCTATTCTGAAAATATATATATAATTTTTACAAGGTATAATTATTGTAATTGATACATGTGATCAAGTTTGTGTATGCTAAGAATACTCAGTGAATGTATGGAATTGAAGTTGATGCTTCTGACTTGAAAAGAACACATATGCTAACTTGGGACTCTAATGTCCAACTGGTATAATTTTGCTTTCAATCTTTGAAGAATATTAAAGCTGTTATCTTCCCAAAATACTTCTTAATAGAGTCCATCTGTGTAAGGTCTGTACTTTTAGAAGGACTCTATCAGTTTTGAGGGATTGTCTTTCATGGTGATTATATTCTGATGACATGTCTAAAATAGATTCTCCCTGATCTGCTTTTATTGACCAGCCAGATGACACTCAAACTAAATCAAAGTGACTAAACTCATGCTTCAATTAGGGATCATGAGAGTGTGTTGTGTTCTGCTAATCAGGCTTTTTACCATGAAGGAAACTTGCAACCATCTTGTTGCTTGGTTGGTTGGAGGGGGTTGAGGAAGAGGGATAGTAGGTGTTGGGAATCCGTGAGGAGGTTAGACATGCAAGTAACAAGGATGGTTTCTACATGTACATTACAATCAGGCTAACAGTATCACTAAAGGCCTGATCTGGAGGCAGAAGTGGCAGGCAAAGCTTTGTCTCTTTGGTAGCCCCCTCTTTTTGATTAAACGGTTTGCTTTATAAGTTTTCCCCCTTATTATCCTTCTCATTCATGAAAAGAACTTTGCTGTTGCTCCTTTAGCCTACAGGTAAACTTCTCTTCTAGTGAGAGTATTGACAGGAGATGGCTTGTATTCCCCTGTTTTTGTAAGGGGAATATCCTCAGGGTTGGCTTCCTCATTTTTGCTGAAACTAGCTGCACTGAAGGTCTCATAAGATGAGGTCAACTTTTTGTTCAGAAGATTTCTGTTGCGGTCACCCATGATGGCAGCCTCGCCATTGGCCAGCTTTTCCTGGCTTCCTCGTTCATCAACAGGCATGAAAGTGGAAAGTTTGGGCTGGCTCTTCTTCCTCTCTGGAGAAGTGCGGACCGGCATCCAGCAGGAGTCCGAATGGCCATATTCATCACACTCACGGGTACACTTCCCAGTCAGGGCGACATCTGGAAGAGGCCTTGAATCTGAAATTCAAGGAAAAGAAACCATTAAAGGTGGACACTTCTCATAGGCTTTCCTGATATGGATGAAATTGGAAGGGGTGAAAAAAAAATCTATTTTAAATATATATTATACATATATATTTTATGTATTTTATATATAGTAGTACCATTTCTTTTTAACACCCTATCGCACATATACCCACAGAGCAATTTTCATTTAATATCAATTAAAGATAAGGTTTTGCAAAATGTCTAAAACTATAGAAAGAGAGCAATGGACAAACAGGCCATTCAAATGTGCAGGACAGACAGGTACATCTTTATTTTAATAGGACAAGTATATGTGTATATTCTCAAGGAGAAATAAAGTATGTATATATATATATATATTTGCATGGGTATAAACTTTTCTACATGCATGAGAAAAGTTATTAAATCCAAATAGATAATTTGTTGTATTTATAAATTATCCCAGAAAACATGTACTTTTGCCAATTGGATTCCTTCCTGCTGATACATTATTCATGGAGTGCAGATATGCAAAACCTTATATTTAAAATACATTCTAAAACATCAGCATGACTCATAAGTGGAACATAAAATGACAACACATTAAATGGTAAAAAGTAAAAATGCAAGTACAAGTAGGTTATGGTGAGCACTATGACCACCTACCCCACCCTAACCCATGTTGTCCCTTCCCCCCACCATGTCAAATGACCTAATATGTATTGTAGAATAATTCCTTGAGTATTCACAGAAAAATATATTTACCAATGTGTTTTCTCAGTGGAAATATTATGTGAAATTCAATGTATTAGGTAAATACCACCAAGCTCCTCAGGTTTTGATGGAATAACACATACTCCTAATTAAAGGTGTTGCCAAGTGAAATGGAAATGTCTTCTATTTCTATAAAGCTAAATCATATCTAGAGAGTTTGTAGGACTCAAGAAATAGATAGCAATTAAGAAATGCCTGTATGTGTTTTTAAAATGACTATATGTGTCTGTCTTTGAAGACTGATTATGTATTTTCTTACTATTAAAATATTTTTTCATGCTTTTTTTTTGAGATAGAATGAGAGAAAAACCTGCTGTCCTTCAACAGATTTAAGACAATTATCTCTAGGATTTCATTCAGTGTGTTTTAAAGTTTATTTCATTGCCAAACAAAAGAATATTCTATGATTGCACTCTCATTTATATCATACATATATAACTTTATTATAAGGCTTGAACTTAAAAGACTGACAAATTTTGACATCTGCAAATATTTTCACAAGTGTAATCAATGAGATTTGCATATGCAATTCTCCATCCCCTGTAATTTATTAGATACCTGTTTAAGTTATCCTTTGTATAGGATATTTTAGAAGTTTTATTCTGCTAAATCTCCTACATCATAGTTCTCCAATATTGCATGTCACTTTCCTTCAATGATGGAGGACTGAAATATTGACATTTGTCAGCTCATTGATTTTTGAACCATTGTGACCTGGGATTTCTGTGCTGTGTTCTCAGAGTTCACAAAGAAATGTCAGTGTTCTTCACAGGAACTCTAGAATTACTTTTCTATTTCCCAAAGGTAAAATGCAAATATAATTATTTATTGTATTTGCACATGCTGCTATTTGATTTCTAAGTGGGCAGAACCTATTAATTTTATCATCAAAAGAAAAAGCACTTTCTATTCATTTTTATGCTAAATTTTCTGTCTCTCGAACACTTAATTTAGATGTATTTAAAGAATCAAACTTGACAAATTTTATGAATGGTTTTGTAATCTAGTTAGTTTAAATGAACAAGCTGTGAATTTGAAGGGAATATTTCCTATTTGAGATACTTTGGTTATTTAAAGCTGATGCAGATACTTCAGGAAAAAACCCTTATAGAAATGCAAAGTTATAAGATCAGATCTACTTTTTACTTTAAAAGTCTTTTTCTTCACTGCTTTACCAAGTTCAAACTCTTCTTTTTGTCTTATGAGAGGGCATATGATGTACACAAAGGAAAAGAATCAGGAATTTAGTTACTTAAATAGAAATATTCTTTATGAATTTGGTTGTCATTCCCTGCAAAAATAATCCAAAATTGTTTCAATCAATCTACATTTAATTAGGTCTTATGCAACATATTTATTTACACAATGATTTATACTGGTAGCTGTTTTTCAGGGATGAATTTGTGTTTCCAGCTTAAAATTCACTCCATTCCCCCTCACTCACACCATTGTTGGTGATGGAGAAACAGATCATAAAGGTACATTGACATTCTTTTTGCTTCAATTATGTCCTGAACTTCCTACAGTTTGTAAGAAATTATATTCATTTAAGTTGACTCAATTTCCAATCAACACAAGTGAGAGGCTCTTCTGTTCTATCCCTTAGCTTTTACCATCGTTAGGATAATTTCCTGCTAAAATTGATTTCCTTCCTCTTACTGCATTTAACGAAAGGCAGCTTGTCTTCTCTGTCATCAGCCACATGTGAGCTGCCACATCTCTACCCAAGAAGCATGACTTTTAATAAGGATCTCCTGTCATTTCCAAAGTCAAACACTTGATTGGGGACCACAGTGTAAGTAAGTTGACAAGCCTAATTGGCTAAGACATGTTGCAGTGTTTGTCATCAAATTTAGAAAATAATCAAGAAAGGCTATAAGAGATTCATCATGAGCAATCAAAACTTACTATCTTGATGACTCAAATGAATCCTCAAAAGAAATGCCAATGATTAACAAATGCAATTTGTGTTATGATGCAATTTATTAAGGGAAGGCATGAGTAGATTTGTACTTTTTTGTGCTTATGTATTTTCTTAATTTATTTATGCAGGTATATATTATACATTTTTAAACTGTATAAAGTTATACACATGCCCGTATATATGATCTTAGAAAATCATTTAATATAATTCTCCCTTTTACAAAAGAGATATGCTTAAAATAACCTATCTCTTATCGGAGTATAGTGATAGATCTTAGAACTAGTAACTTTTCTTAGACTTTTCAGTATATCATAGAGGGTGTGGGTTTTCTAACACCTAAGAGTACTATTTTTTGCTGTGGTTTAGTCCTGATCCTTTAATTTTGATCCAAGTGAAGATGGAAAACAGCTTATCGCAATTCTTGTCAGTATTGAGAAAGTCAATAAAAATAGTAAAATATTCAATATTGAGATATTCTCTTTTAGCCATGTTATCTAATAGTCGATTCTTTAGATGTGTTATTTTTAAACTGTCCCCAACAATGATATCAAATTTGAGTAGATTGTTAATAGAAATGGTATTCATTCTTGTTTTGGGGGAATACATGCAGATCTCTCCAGCCTTACCTAGTTATGCTATTTACTAGAATCACTGCATCATTTCACAAAGTTAAAGTACTTTCTCAAACATAAAGATATCTTTGCTTTCAAGAGTACACAGGTTTAGGACCTCCCCAGTGGCGCAGCGGGTTGAGCTCCGTGTCATGAAGCTGTCCACAGCCTCTGCAGCACGGGTTCGATCCCGGTGTCCAGGGAGAATCCCACATGGTGCAGCAGACCTCTCCTGCCACGCCCACTGCTCCCCTCAGCAGTGTCTTTGGCCCGTCTTCCTGTTCTGCTCCCCGCTTTGTCTCTGGTGAATTCTCTCACCCTCCCACACCTCTGACTGTACCCCAATCCTTGTATAAATAAATCTTAAAAAAAAAGAGTACACAGGTTTAACCCATCACAATAGCAAACGGTGTTAGAACAGCTTATAACATATACTGTACTTTTCCACATTTCATTCCTCCTTTTGCTTATCACACTGTAAAGGGATATCAAAGCAATGAGGGTGTCTGGCCTGTGGAGAAACTGAGGCCAGAGAACATTATTTTGACTTTCAATTTAATGTTTCAGGTTACACCATACTGCTCCTTCTCAAAATGTAACAGCTGGTTTATTTAGAGGTTAATTACTGCTATGAGTAGTCACAAGAAAAAGGAAGAGTCTCTAAAGGGGGAAAAAAAAAGTCACAGGATTTAGATGCCACAAAATGACAAATTTTTGTATAATGCAAAAACAAAAATGGTGTAAGCTCCCTGAATTATGCATCATCTAGAGTATATACACTTCTTTTACTGAAATTATGACTAATTTAATAAGTTGAGTTCTTTCTCTATAAAATATATTGGGTTTTAGGGCCTCCCCTGGTGGTTCAGTGGTTGAGCGCTGGGCTGCGAAGCTGCCCTCAGCCTCTGCATCACCGGTTTGATCCCTGGTGGCCGGCGAGGGTCCCACATGGCACGACAGACCTCTCCTGCCTCCCGCTGCTCCCCTCAGCAGTGTATTTCTCGTCAGTCTGCCTGTTCTGTTCCCTGCTCTGGCTCTGGTGAATTCTCTCACCCTCCTGAGCTTCTGACTATACCCAATGCTTGTATAAATAGATAAATAAATCTTTAAAAAAAAAATATTGGATTTTAGCAGGCCACGTTGACAGGTGGGAAGTTGCTGCTACAACCATCGCAACAAGAAGTGATACACACAATCCATGAAATCATTAGAAATAATAAGGAAAGCTCAGATTTAGAAAGATTTCAGGTTTTCAAAGGCTATCCTATACAATTCAGAAACCATTAGAGGCATTACTATGGGAAGGCTCTGAAAGGCTCTTGAAGATAGCTGTGTATCAGTTAAGGATTTTGATACTCTGAGTTGTGCATTCTGCAAGAATTCTGGCTAGGCTTGGAGCAGAAGATATAAGGACTTTTCTGTTTCCTAATAGAAGATACAAAAAGTTCAATTTGCTTTTGACATATTTCCAATGAATTTTTCCTTGTCTTTGTTTAAATAAAGCTCAGATACTTAAAGTTATATGTATTATTTGCTTAATATACAAATTGCTTAATTTCCTGCCCTTCTGAGACATATGAATTATTAGCCAATGTTTAGATATCATAAATGCCCAATCATCCCTACAATTTTTTCTTTAAAATCAAGTACTATCTTATTCTTATTATTACTTGATAAGATTCTATAAATGGAAAATTGCAGTA